AAAAAAAAATAGGGGATCTGTTTGTTCTGTTTGTTTGCAAAAGACAAAACAAGGGACAACACAAAAGAAAAAAGTAATGAAATAAGGAAGAAAAAAATAGAGGGGCTGTTTGTTGTTTGTTGCAAAAGACAAAACAAGGGACAGCACAAATAAAAAAGTAATGAAAAAATAGATGGGCTGTGTCGCACAGCCCCTCCTCCCTCTCTCGAATGGTTCTTTGGTGTTATTCTGACTGGAAATTGAGTAAAAGAAAAGGAAACGAGCAATGATAAAAGTACAGCAATAGCACACAAAAAAGGAGTTGGCAAAGCAAGTACCACAAATTTTCTCTTTGGTTTCTGAAGCACAAGGGCAGATGGTTTTCTCCACCAAATAAAGAAATCTCCAAAGCCTTCAGTCTGGCAGCACAGTCTCTACATACAAAAGAGAAGACAAGAGGTCAGAGGCATGGGAACAGACAAAAGAAAAAAAAAGAGAAAGGGAAGTTTGTGGGCATAGGTTACCACGTGAAATCCCAGAGCTCGTCTTTTCTTTTGATGATGCAACAGGTGGCTGTACGAACTGGTCTAGAAAGGCAAACAAAGGAAGAATATCAAGTTCGTTTGCTGATGATTTAAAGTGGTGGTGCACATGTTTTCTTTTATAAATAAAAGAAACATGTATAGCCCAATCCTATATGGACAAGGGGTTAACTTTCTTGGATGATCCAGGGGTTAATTCTGACTCTATTTGGACAAGGACTTTTATCCTTGGGTGTCTTGATAAAATTAAAAGACATTTGTTAAAGGCACCAGGCTGTGGGGGACTAGCTTGAACAAAGCAAGGCCATAATTTTTCCTTCACGGTTTCATCATCCAAAGTCTTTTGGGTCTCGTCACTGTGCCCTCAAGAATCCCAAACAGCAAGCAAGGCAGTTGGGTCTCTCTATTATGCCTTCAAGCGTCTTCAATCCCCGGGGGTTGCCACCTCCGCATCCCCCTCATCAATCAGCCACGAACTAAGTGGCTTCCAAGACTCGACGGTCTCAAATACAATGGGCTTGGTCATTAAAAAAATTCCAATTGGTGAATAATTGGTACAAAGTCTCAAATTCACAAATTATGGATTAATGGGCTCAAATAAAAAGGGGTCCCATTAATTCCCAAATTGCCAAGTGAAGACCTAGGTGGTACAAAACCACACCAAATCCCAAATGCAAAATGTCAATTTTAGAAAATTAGTGGGTTAATCAAAATTGCTCATTATTTTTCTTGGACATTGACAAAAAGAAAGACGGTACAAAACCATCCAATTTTCCCCATGGGTCATCTACCCATGCAAATTTCGGTGAGATTAATCCCAAATCTCTCAAACACAAATTCTCAATTAGTGGGCCACACTTACCCATTAATTTCCAAGTCTTCTCATGGGTCATCTACCCATGCAAACTTCAAATTTAAATCTCTAAAACACAAACTCTCAATTAGTGGGCCATACTTACCCATTAATTTCCAATTTTCTTCATAGGTCATCTATTTATGAAAATCTTCATATTGTCTCAAAGACACAAATTCTTAATTAGTGGGCCACACTTACCCATTAATTTACAAATCTTTTTGGAACTACGCCGGTTTGATCCCATCAAGGGTACGTAGGCAGTCTAGCATACCACTAGACGCAACCGCATCCACACCAAATCCCAAGTGGTACAAAACCATGCCAAATCCCAAGTGGTACAAAACCACGCAAATTAAACAATCTTTTCCGAACTACGTTGGTTTGATCCCTTCAGAAGGGTACGTAGGCAATCTAGAGATTCAATCTAGGTGCAACCGTCCAAATCTCAAAGCCAAACAGAATCCCTAGTTATTATTAACCAAATTCACCCCAAACACACATCAAAATCGAATCCCTGGTTTATTCAGCTAAATTCACTCAAATGCTTTTTCAATCAAATTCATACAAATCTTTCCTTTTGCAATGGGTCATTCATTCATTGCAATTCCTTGAACTACGAGTGGCTTGATTCCCGCAAGGGATACGTAGGCACCTTGAGGTTGGACTTGGGAGCAGCCGCAAAACCAAACACACACGTTCTGTTTCTTTATGATGGAATCAAAGGGTTTTCCCTTGAAGCAAGGGATTGTAATTAAGAGACTAGCGTCTCGAATGGGTCGAACCTAAAATAATAAAACCCCATTATTTAATTAGTGGTGGTGAAATTGTGTTGGGAGGTTCACATTTATCCTCAACATAATTTTTGGCACGCCCGGTGGGACCCATTTACCTTTTCATCTCCAATCATAAAGTGACTAATATTTTTATTAATTTGTGTTTGCCACAGGTTAACCAAACCAGATAAGCAATGGCACCACAAGTTACAATTTTCTTCCACAAGATCGAAACTACCAGGAATGCGTGCACCAAACGAGTAGGCTTCCGAAAGACTTTTATTGTCAGTGAGAGCCTCATCAAGTGCACTGTTCCAAAGCCCATTCAGAGGGTCAGGCCTCAGGTCACTCCTAAGGTCGTCAAGGCCCAACTCAAGAAAACACCATCCAAGAATGCTCTCCGAAATGCAAGGAAAAGGGCTACTCGTGCTTTGAGGAAAAAAGAAGCAAAAAGGCAGTCCATTGAGGCAGTTTTTGCCGAGCTTTCTGGTACAAGCCCAATGGTGACTGAAGGCAAGAACATCTCAAGCACCCTGGTTGTGCCGACTCCCAAGAGGACAAGTGCTACCCGATTTGTCCAAATCATGATTGGATCAATCCCAGTCAACCTATATCCTACAGATGCTGTCCTAATGACTTCCACCAACGAAACTAGTGAGGAAAGTCAAAAGGATAACGTTGTGGAGAATGCTGAGGTCCAAGGGGCCGAACCTCCATCAAGCCCTAGAGCCCATGTTGTGGAATCCACATCACAAGAGATTTACCCATGCTCTTCTAAGGGTAAAAGCAAAGCCATCATCATGAAAAAGAAGGTGGTAAATATACCTCATCCACAAAGAAAGCTCGTGCAAAAGGCGAGGACAGCTGATGTTTTAAGGGATCAAATTCCCATATCACAGGGGGGAGTCCCAAAACCTCAAGATCAGTCGAGATCTTACATGGGTCCTTTGACCCGTTCCAAATCTCGAGACATGATGATTATTCCTAAATTATCCGCTCTAAACTCAACCCGCTTGGAGAATTACATGCTATGGAATCCTCTTTATGATGATCCTGTATCCCAAACTCAAGAGAAGGATTACATGGCATCCCAAGGGGCCAAACTTCATGGGGGAGTGGAAAGCATGCAAGTCATGATGACTGGTACGTCCAATACTGAGGACCAGGTACCCTTAGTCCAAGAAATGATGCAAGACCTACGAAGGGAAATGCAACAGAAGTTAGCAGAGAAAGACGCGGAAATAGCGTTGTTATCTGCCCAGTTGAAAGGAAAAGCCATCATAGGTGGGCAAGACAGGGGCAAAGCAAATAAGTTTGCGACCCAGGAACAACAAAGAAATGAGGAAAGAGGAGAGGACTCTACGAGCACAGTTTCCCCAAACGACATAAAGGCATTAATTGCAGAGGGGATTCGCGAATTCCAGCTGTCCATGGCACCTCCTGTTCAAGGGTATCGAAAACCCTTCCCTTCTCACTATGACGCTATCCCATTTCCGAAGGGTTATCAACGACCCATATTCGATAAATTCGATGGCATAAATAGCTCACCCCATGAACATCTGGCACATTTTTATTCAGCATGTGGTGAGACATCCCAGTTAGACGCTCTCTTGGTACGTCAATTTGTCCAATCACTAAAAGGATCAGCCTTTACTTGGTATACACAACTACCGCCAGGCTCAATCCTAACGTGGGACGACATGCAAAAGGCATTTTTGGCACAGTTTGTTAGTTCAAGGAAGAAGGTCTCGATCATGGACCTAGCTCAAACTACCCAAAAGCCAGGGGAAAGTGCCAATGACTTCATAATAAGATGGAGGAGCCTCAATCTCCAATGCCCGGAGAAAATTACCGAGCAATCAGCAGTGCAAATGTGCTACAACAACCTCATGCCAGACATTGCAACTTTTGTTGCCACTGCTGAACCCCAATCATTTGATGCTTTGGTGTCAAAGGCAAGCAATGTTGAAAGACAAATTGCTCGCCAAAAGTCTGCGACCCAGAAAATTCAATTTGGGGAAAAGAAAAATGACAAAAAGTCTACGAAGGGAGAGTCATTGGTTACTTTTGTCCAGTCAGAAAAGAAAAACGACAAAGGCCAAAGCAGGGACCCACCCAAAAGGCTCACGCTTAAAGAGCGTAAAGAGGTCAAATATTCTTTTGACGACGATGATGTAGAAGAAATCTTTGACCAACTTCTGGCCTCCAATGCTTTTACCCTGCCAGACTCAAAGCGCCCTGCTGAGGTCAACAAGACAAATGACCCTAAGTATTGTCGGTATCACCGCCTCGTCAGTCATACGCTTAAGGATTGTTATATCTTGAAAGACAAGATCCAAGAGCTCCTCAATAATGGTGGCTTGGTGATAGACTCTTCTGCCAGACGTCAATCAGCTGCAACAAATATGATTGAGGAAAAGCTCACACCCAATACCGCATTACTAGAGGAAGCAAAATTTGCAAGTATCACTACTGACAGTGGGGGCACAAATGCCCATGCCCGTTCAAATGCACCACGGTCTAA